CATTTCCCACCTGGCTCCAAGCTTCTGCGGTGAGAGAGGGTCTGGGGTTGTCCTCTCTCCCCCTGGACAGTCTGCAAATTGAACTCCTCATCCCCAGCCCCATCAAAGAACTATGATTTAAATAAGAAAAACAAAACTTTTTTTAGTTATGGACCTGAGCAATGCCAGGTAAATCTAGTAATAAAATAAGCACAGCAAAAAGTACAATTCTTTGTGGGCAAATATTTATTAGGAAAAAACTATTTTACTAGCAGGGTGGTGAAGCTCTGAAATGGATTACCCAAGGAGGTAGCGGAAGCTGCATCTGTAGGGGTTTTTAAGTCTTGGCTTGACAAAGCCCTGGCTAGGATGATTTAGTTGGGGCTGGCCCACCTTTTAGAAGGGCGTTGGACTCGATGACTTCCTTCTGTCTCTTCTAACCCTACGATTCTATGATTTTTCAAATAAAAAGTCTTAAGTGCCGAGAATCATGGAAATATGGAAAACTTTTGAGAGAACTTTCCCACGTTTTTTCCTTTTTGAGATCATTGGCGTTGCAGTTAAGCAAACCCCCAAAAACCAGGAAATAATATTAGTCAGCTAGTAGCACAACTGGATTGTTTTCCAAGCTCATACACTAGAGCGGTAAGGACTTCTATGCAATTCTAGCTTTGACACCACACAGATGGCGCGGCAAGCGCCTTCACTTAGCATTTCCATAGCAGGGCCAGGGGAGGGAGCTCTCACAGGCGCGGTTGGGTCCCTCGCCGCATCGCACAGCTGCAGTGGGAAGATGCTTTTTGCAAAGGTGCGTAGGGAGGAATCGGGATCCCCAGGACCTCGTGCTCTGTCCTGTGCCCACCGGCAGCGCGATGCAGACGCTTCCCGGGGCGCCGACAGACCCGCACGGTGCGAGCACGAGCTCCGCGGGCCCGGCTGCATGGCCACAACGGTTACAAGATCCGCCAAGGCACCAGAAATTCTGCCAGTCGCCTAAGAATTGCGGCCCCCGCGGCACGTCCCTGGGCGCAGCGTGACTCCCTGCACATGCGCGCTCTGGCCAGCGGGGCAAGGCCGGGGGCGCGCGGCTTCCGTGTCGGTTCCGGAGCGCGCCGCGTGGCTGCACAGCTGGGGCTCCAGGGCCCCCCCCTTCTCCCCCCCTTCCTCCCCCCAGCTCTCACCCAAACATCAGGGAGGAGGGAGGCCACGGTGCAGCAATCCTGGCTCCCGAGCACTAGGGAAAGGGTGGGGAAGGAAGGACTAGGCAGGCGAGATGCAGAGTAATGTGATGATGTCACTGTCGTCCCGCAAGAAAAATAATTTTAGAGTGAGAGAAATTACAGTACACATTTTGCAAATAGGAAAAACAGAAGAAATGAGGTACCCAGAGTCACACAGCATATTAGCGGAGACCAGAATAGGAGTCTTGACTATTAATCTTCTAATGTAACCACTAAATTCTGCCCCCATTTTCTTATTGATACTTGGCCCTGGTGTTACCATCGTTTCCTCTTCTAATAAACTCAAAGGAGCTGTAGCCCAAGCACAAAGACTTTATTACTATTACATAGAAATGTTCTTAGATTGTCTTTCTTTCTCTAATTAGTTTGGGCCAGGAAGTGAAACCTGCATCACTGGTCAGCGTGAGCTGGGACTGCTCAGTCTCAGATCGCACTGGGTCCCCTGCTGCACCTCTGCCCCCCACCAAAGACAGCTGCTGGTGGAGCCAGCTTTTAAGCCAGCTCCCCCCAGCACTGGCTCCTGCTCACCCCCTTCTGCCCCTTGCTGCCCTCTGTATGGGCAGCAAGGGGAGGGCAGGAGTAAGTAGTCAAATACTCCACTCAACTACCAGATAAGCTTATGCATGTCAAGTAGTCAATTACTTACATCCCTAATGTGTATCTGAAGGCAAAGAGCAGCTGGACCTGTTTATTTTCTTTTCATATTGTTATTGACAAAGATATTCCTGTTTTGTGTTTTTGTTTTTGGTTTATTTTTTCCAAAGGTT